CAGCTTCCAGAGGCTTCGGTTGCCTCTCCTGTAATGCAACCCACTGCCAGCAAAGATCTCACTGGAGCCTCGGAATCGGGGGAAATGGGAATTCCAGAGGATTCGGGGTTCAGGGAACCAGCCCCAAAACACTGACCCTCCGCTGGCTGTGACTGCTATAAATAACAAGTGCTCTTTGCCTCTAATCCAGGAGTCTCTTGTCTTCTCCCAGGAATCCTGGAAACTTGCAGGCTCACTTGTTTGCTGGCAAGGAGGGGGGAAAGCTCAGGACTGTCCCGGTTCTGGGAAGGGCAGACTTACTGGAAGAGAAAGCATCACGGAGAGATAAGAAGGTCAGGGTGGAGAAAGCTTAAATGGCTTTTCAGGAAGATAACCAGTGTGTCAACGGAGGGGGACTCCTGTCCCCAGGAGGCCAAGTTCCAAGGAGGAGAAGCAGCCTTCAGGGCCTCCCTCCGCTGCCCGGGTTGCTTTAAAGGCCCCGTTCCCCGGGTTAGATTGAAGGAAATCAGAGGCTTTGGAAAGTAACGGCCACCTTAGTGACCTGGCTGTAAATAAACAATCGTTGTTTTAAATAATAACAGTGAAAAGCTGTCACAGGATCTCATTTCTGGAGCTATTTATAAGCTTCCGGTGGCAGCATAATGAGATGGATCACATTTTAATGCTGCAAAGCTTTTGGTCATAAGATAGTCTAAGATAGTCTATCGTAAAGGTCAGCCCTTCCCTGGAGGGGACCCGGCCTCTCAGGCATCACGGAGCTCAGGTGGTCCTCAGTACGCAGTCCTGGTGCTTCAACACAGAGTCCATCTCCCAAACCTCAGAGGGAAATGAACCAGAGAACGCAGCTCCCCGCCAGCCCTCAGGTAAGCCACATCAACCCCGAACTCCTGGCCCGGCCCCAGCGCTCCAGGAAAGTTTATTTTCCCCTCCTGAATTTCAGCATCATCAGCTGTCAGCGATCTCTGCCGCCCCCGGGCAGTGACCAGCCTGGTGGCTGAGCCCCACACGTGCCCTTGTACCACCTCTGCTTGGGCTCGAAGTGAATGTTCACACTTGGCCTTTAAGCGCCGGCGTGCCAAGGACTCCACCAGGGAGTCCCCACTTGGGAGATCCATCGCGGGTCCCCTTTGCCCAGACCCACGTCACTCTCCGCTCCTCCCACTGCCCTGCAGTAATCAGCTCTTCGGAGGGCCCGGCTGCCCAAATTGCTTCTCCCCCAGTTCTATCCCAGTCACTTTTCGAGTCCTCAAAATGAGGCTGGACGGGGTGAAGTTGGGTTTGAAAGGTCACTTTCCCATAGGTGTGTGGAGGAAAGGAGGGCCTCAGAAGATTCCCATCTAAATTGCCAATGGATGGGGATCTTAGTAGTGAACACTTGGCCACAAAAATCAGAAAAGCAAGTGACAACAAGTGTATTTCCCTAAATCTTAATAGTTTATAATGTGTTCCACAGACTTACTTTAAAATTGATAGTTGGGAGGGGAGGGTAGAGCTCAGCGGTAGAGCGCGTGCTTAGCAGGCCCGAGGTCCTGGGTTCAGATACACACTGCTGTGTATAAAATAGACAAATAACAAGGTCGTGCTGTTTAGCACAGGGAACTAGATCTGATTTCTGGTAGAAACATACAATGGAAAAGAATCTGAAAAGAAAAAGTGTATATGTATATGTATGTATAACTGAATCACTTTGCTGTGCACCTGAAGCTAACATTGTAAACCAACTACACTTCAATAAAAGGTTTTTAAACATAAATGAAATTAATACCATATATTTTATTTACTTTATTTGAATAGATTATTTTTAGACAACTGTAGATTCATATGCAGTTACTCTTACCCAGTTTTTCCAGTGGTGTCATCTTGCAAAACTAGACTATGTCACAGCCATGACATTGACATTGAGACCGTCCACCTGTCATGGTCAGATTCTCCCAGCTGTGTATTTACTGATGTATGTCTATTTTGTTCTATACAGTTTAATCACACGCGCACCTTGGTGTATCTACCACCATAGTCAAGATTCTACACCATTTCCATTTCCCCAAGAATTCTACCTGTTGCCCTTTTAAACCACATCTACCACTCCCCTGCCTCCAACTAATTTAATAACAATTCATTTAAAAATAAAATAAGTTGGTGGGAATGTAAAATGGTACAGCCACTGCAAAAAGCAGGCAACTTCTTATAAAACTAAATATGCAACTCCCACACAAGCCAGAAATTATGAGCATTTATCCCAGAGCTATGAAAAATTATGTTCACACAAAAACTTGTATGTGAATGCTTACAGCAGCTTTATTTGTAATAGTCAAAAACTGGAAATGACTTAGATATACTTCAATGGGTGAATGGTTTCACAAGTTGTTGTCCACCCACACTCTGGAATATTATGCAGCCATCAAAAAGAATGACTCATTGATATATAAAACAACTTGGATGAATGTCCAGGGAATTATCCTGACGGGGAAAAAAAAGCCCATCCCAAAAGGATATATACCATATGATTTCATTTTTATAACACTCTTGAAATGACACATTGCTATTGACCTGCTCCTCATGACAGCCTAGAGGGAAGGGTTATGCATTGCAGTTACGGCAGTGGAGAGGTAGCCCTGAAATGAAGGCTGGGGTCTACAGTGGCATTTGATTTGCCTCATTAGCCTGTTCCCTTCCTTTCAAAAACACCCCAACAGACACACCCAGTCTTAAGATTGACCGAACAGCTGGAAAGCCAGGATCCCTGTCAAGTAACCCTAACCATCATAGCCTGTATTTTAATATAATTAATCTCCTGGGTGATCTCATGTTCTGGTTTTCTACTGCTGGGTAACAATCCCTCTAGCCCCCAAAATAAATGAAAAACAAACAACCTTAGTGGCCTAAAATAATCATTTTCTTCCACTGACAATTCTGTGGATCAGGAGATTGTGGGAGGCTCAGCTGGACAGGTCGGGTCTGGCCCACGTGGTGCAGGCTGGGCTGTGGGGGCTTTCTGGTGCCCTCACATCCCTCTTCACCCAGCCTGCTGCCTCTTCAGTGCCCCGTGGCCTTCCAGGCACCTCGGCCTTGACCTTGATCTTCCACAGCACCGCAATCTGGGGGCCAGTGAACTTCCTACACAAGCTGCCTCCCACGCAGATGAAGATGAAGGTTCAGGATGACATCACTTCTGCCTCATCCTATTGGACCATGTATTGTTGGGACCTGCCCAGGTCTGAGGGGTGGAGAAACAGACCCCCCAGGTGACAAGGTGACTGAAGAAGAGCATGTGGCCCAGGGACATTGACCAGCCCACCTTCGAGAAGTCCGATGTGCCCACTGAGTGGACTTCATGTATTAAAAGCATCACTCTGACTGGTCATCTGGAGGCTGCACCAAGCCATTGAAGGGGCACGAGGCCTCAGCTAGGCGAAGACCCCCATGCCAAGCTTCTGTTGGGGGCAGAGAAGGAGGGGGAACCTGTTACGCTGTGTACGGGCTGAACTGGTCACCACTGGGACTGGCAGCCTGGTGGACCTACAAATACGCTTGCTCTCCTAAATTCATCACAAAGTTCAAAACCTCTCAGTCCTGGGTGAGATGCCAATAGGGGCGGTCTGTTAACTCTGGGATCGCATCTTATCCCAGCTCCTTCCCTGTTTCAGAGCTGCCGGGGTGCACACCCGTCTCGTGGCCAGGCCCGGAGCCTTCCCTAGGAGGGCACCACTCACTATCGCTCAGAAAAAGGTCTAAGTTGTAAGTAACTGCCCACCCCAGGGAGCCGGCTCCCGCCCTGGCCAGCGCCCCTGGGGGACCCAGGGCTGCAGACAGCTGAGCAGCTCCCCCCTCAGGGCGCTGTCTGCAGACGCAGACACAGCGCCTGGGGTCAGAAGTTCCCCGTCCACTCTCAGGCCCCCGCAGGTCCCCAGGACGTCCACAAAGAGGCACTAACCCAAGGATGCCAGCGGACAACAAGGGCCCGTCTCAGCTCATGGAGTCAAAGGGTTCCATTCACTCCCAGTCTCTGAGAAAGGGCTTTCGCCGGCTCGCTGGGTTGCTTGCATGAGATGATTGACTCAGAAAGAAAACGACTTGCTGGGTTTCTCGCTTCCTACGCTGGCCTTGCGAACAGAGGGGGCCTGCTAAGCGGTGTTTGGATCAGAACCTCCCGGTTGAGGACAGTGAGTCAGCAGCTGGTGGGGTCGGTCCACGGTGCAGAAACCAGTCATGAGAACAAAGACAGTTGGTTCCAGCCCGGGATGGATGGTGCCTCAAACACAGTCAGCGAAAAAACATCTCCAAGTGGAGCAGACCTCAACCCCCTCGCGTCACGTGAGTCAGAGGGAACTTCAGAGTGACTCGCTTCGCTGTCCTGGGTTCAAAGTCCCGTCTAAGTCGGGAGAGGAGCGAGGAGGGAAGGGGATGGATTAAAACCATCCTGCTTGCCAGACGCGTGTCCTGTCCCCTCCCTTCCCTGGAGAGCCTTAGTGACCAAAAGCCAACTTGGTCCCCGGGGCTTCCTCACACCCCGCCCGGGCGCTCGGGGAGTAATAATCAGCTGAGACCGCTTCACTTTTAAGTCACCCGGAGAACAGGGGCGGGAGGACGGACAGCCTTTGACCACTGCTCCAGGGAGAAGCCGAGAGAGCGACAGAGCCCCCGCGAAGTCGACCCCCCCCAGACGTGAGGACGAGGGCGGGCTGCCGGCTTGCTGGGCAGCAGGGCGGGGCTCTTTTTATCCTCTCCACACAATCTGATTTCCAGCTGGCATGTTTTCAGACAGAGCTTTCCTATTAAAATGTGCTACACTTACGCCTGAAAGCTTGTGGTGCTCAGAAAACTCTTTACCAAAGGCGCTCTCACCACGGTGCCCGTGTGATGGTGGCCTGGCTGGGCTTTGGAGGACCGATTTTGTCATCAGTGTCTGACCCGGCTGGACGTGTGCGGCCAGCCCTTCACGAAGGATGAGAAGCCACTGCAGAGGAAGGACAGCAACAGGAGGAACCATCCGTGCCCCGCCTCTTCTTCCCCGGGCCAAGCACGCCCTGTGGATTCGGGACCTCACACGACACACGGCCCCCAAAACTCAAGGCTCTAACCAAGTACTTGAAAGAGGTTTAAAGAAACTTGCTGAAGTTTGGATGAACCCCAACTGGGCCAACAACCCCTGTCTCCCAACCTGCAGACCTACCTTCCTGCTGAAACGTGCAGAGGGAAGGATGTCAACATAGTGATGAAGAAAGCGATGAAGTGAAACCAAACACACGCTGCTCGCACCAGAGGTCCCCAGCCCCAGCTGCCCTGGCCAAGAGGAGAGCGCACCTCCGGCCGGGCGGCCGGGTGACCGGGCTGCTCACCAGCTGCTGGTGGAGGGCGGACAGAGGGCAGGGGAAGCCAGGCTGGGAGGCAGAAAGGCTCGGAGCATCCTGACTTCATCTTTGCCTCCGCGAAGCATCCCGATGCTCCATCGCTATTTTTAGAGCTCAGCATTTCAAAGGTCAAGTGCTTTCTAAAGTGTTTGTTTTTCCCTCCAGGGTTTGTGCCCTGATTGAAGCGACAACCCTGTGCTGCTCCCCTGCCCCCACACCACACTGGCTCCAACACTCACCACTTAGCTTCTAGCTAAGTCGCCGACAAAGCTTGAAATGAGCAGTCTTCAGGGTTTTGATTTCTTCCTTCATCTGGCTCCAGTCTTGACCCTCGGAACCACAAAGGCATGGTGGGCACTGGGAAAAATGCACAGTGCTTCCCCTACGGGGCCAGCGGGCGGAAGGCACCCCGCAGGTCTTCACAGACAAGACCAGGCCTCCCCGCACAGATGCAGCCTGATCCCGGGGAGTTCGGGCCCCCTGGACCCACCTCGGTCCTTGCAGGAAGTCCGCGGCTTGCGTTCGGGGGCCGCCCTGCACCTCTGAGCCTGTCCGTGGAGAGCTGTGAGGCCACCTCTGTCCTGTCGTCTTCTGTCACCTCTTGCCCTGGGCTTCTCCACCCGTCACTCCGTGTCATAGAATTCGCGGAGCTTCTCCCACTGCTGTCGCTCTGCCAGGGTCTTCCAAGACATGGAGGAAGCCCACCCTAACTCCCCAAAGTACAGCGAATTCTGGGCTGCAGTGTCCACACGACCCCAGCTAGCCCAGCACGGAGGTGGCAGCCCCGGGGCAGGCCAGCTACTGCTCTTCAAACACTCATCTCCTCTGGTTCATAGGCCACGCATGGGCCTTCAGCTGGTGGCATCCCAGTCTAGCCACCTCCCAAAGGACTCCCCTTTGGCTGGTGCCCTCTCCAGAGTCCAGGCCTCCATTCTGGGGAACAGGGCACCTCCACCGGGAGCCCCAAAGGCAGGTGAGGCCACGGCAGTGTGGCATCCCCAGTACTTCCCCTGTCTGAGGACCTGGAGCCTCAGACTCCAGGGTCCCCTGCTCACCAGACTGCTCCACCCCAAACCTCCAGGAGAAGAAGAAAAAAGAAGCAGGCTACAGCTCTCCACTAGCAAAGCTCTCGAACTCTTGGACCAGAAGGACAAAACACTTCTCCCCACAACACACGCTTCTCAGGTGAGCACACAAAATCGACCTGCACAGGGACATAGCATCTTTCAGTCCAGTTAAAAATGTCTGTGTTTGGGTCATTTCCTCAACTCCCCAGAGCAAGGCCAAGGTCTGCTCTCCAAGAGGAGCCCCAGCTCTCTCCCCAGGACAGGGCCGGGCGGATGAGAGGGGAAAAGCACAGTAAACAAACGAAGTGCGTGTCCGCTCAGCCAGGGAGTCAGAGATCTCGGACCCAGCTCTCAGCAGGATGCTGGCGGTCTACGGCGCGTCTCCGTCCGCAGAGCATCCCTGATCAGCCAGCTCCCTTGGCTTGCGAGAGAGCACTTCAGAAGGAGGACCAGCACACGGAGTTCTTCCTCGGTTCTCACCGTGGAGCCGTGTCCAAAATAAAAATAAACAGATGAGGTACATTCTCTTCTTGAGGAGCACACACTCCCTTTTCCCCTCGGTCTCAGCCTCCCCTCCCCTCCCCTCCCCTCCTCCCAGGGCCGCCTCACTGCCCGTCCAGAGCTGCCCTGCTGCCCGGGGAGGCTCTGCTCCAGCCCAGCCTGGTGCCTTCTGCTCCCTGCACCCTCTGATCCCCTACCCAGGCCCCCACCTCTACTGAGACCACCCTAGGGAGACAGACGAGCTTTGGCGATGTGGTGAGGGCCCCCCGTGGGGCCACCAGACCCAACAAGGGCGTTCAACCAGCCCAGCATGCTTATTCCCTTTTGTGCAGGGTTCACTCTTCCACTCCCTGAAGCCATCTTCCCTGTAGCCTGCCCTCTCCTTGGATGCACGCACCTCCCCGCCCTGCCACCCCCACCACAGGCTCTTCTTTGGGGAGAATAATAAAAGCTGAAAGCAAGTGGGTGGTGACTCCCTCGCCGTCACTCCAGTCTTGACCTGCTTGCTTCTGGACCCGCGGAAGACCCTACTCCTCGCCAGAGCCCACCTCCCCTGGGTGCCGGACGCGTCCCCCACCATCTTAGAAACTTCTCTCTTATCCTGGAAAGACGATCTTTCCCTCTGTGCCAGATACTTCCAACAACAAGGAAACATGCTGTGAGATTTCAGTCTTAAGTTTTTTTTTCCTGACTTCACATCCTCCTCCATCAATAGCCCCGTTGCCTTGTTTTCTCACAAAACTCGAAACACCGTCTGTAGAAGCCGTCTGCACTTCCTCTGCCTTGTAGTTTTTGCTTGGACCCCTCCCATCTTTCTGTGGTCCCCGGCACCCTGGGAGTCACTGGTCAAGGTCACCGAGGACTTCCAGTGACCTCCAGGTTGACAAAGACGGAGGCTGCGCCCTACGTCACCGCACCGCTCAGCAGCGTCAGAGCCGGGATGACACGCTCTCCTGTCCTCCCGCATCAGTCTTGGGCCCTCCTCCTCCCAGCGCATCCTTCCAGGCCGTGTGTGGCTCCCCAGGGGTGCCGCCCAGGTCTTGTCCTGACCGTCATCTCGGGACCAACAATTCCAGGCACCAGCCTCTCCATCGAGCACCACATACAACCCAGCTGCCTTCTCGGTTCCTTGAAGATCCAACCAGGATCTCATACTTTGTGTGGCCAAAAAAAGTCTTAACTCCCCACCCCCCAAGTTTCCAGAGTCTCCCTCCTAATCATTCTCATCTCAGTGACTCAAGCACTTGTCCTCAAGCCAGCTCCTTTCCTCCCCCTGCACACGACTAAACCACACATTGTCCTGCTGGGTCTGCCTTCTACCTTCACCCTGCCCAGGGCGCCCTCATCTCCCACCAGGCCCGTGGCCACCTCCACAGCATCTGTGGTTCCTCCTCTTCCGTCCCCAGTCCCGTCTCCCGCAGCACATGTGGCCCAGCTGGCCCTGTGGGACTTCCTGGGCTGCCAAGTTCTGTGAAGCTTCGGCCTGGGTGCCCTGGATGCTCGCTCCCCCTCTTAGGACCCTCCCTCTCTGAACCCAGCCACCAGATTGTGAGCAGCCAAGCCACACGGCGGGGGGCCCTCACGACGATGTTCTGGTCCACTGTGCCGCCCGGCCAGCCTTCGAGGCATCCCAGCCCAGAGGTCATCTGTACCCCTCGCTCTGAGGTGGCTCTTCACACAGCGACGCTAGTTAGAGCAGGGCACCCCGCACATAGGAACAGGGAGATATCGAGACGGGGATCCGCAGGGGATAAAAATTAAAGATATATACGAACAAAAAT